CCAGGATGGTCTCGATCTCCTGACCTCGTGATCCGCCCGTCTCGGCCTCCCAAAGTGCTGGGATTACAGGCTTGAGCCACCGCGCCCGGCCTATGGTGCCTCTTTCGACCCACCCATGGCCGCCCATGGACCAGTCAGCACACACTTCCTCCCCTCTGAGGTCCAGAAAAGCCCTGGGCTCAGCCTCAGCAGGGCAGAGGACGGCCAGAGGACAAAGAAGGCAGAGAGATGAGAGGATGGGACGGGACGACCAGCTGCAGAGAGCGGTACCCTCTCCACTGAAAGCGGCAGATGATCTGCCGGCAGAGAGGAGCTGCCGTCTCTGCTGAGAGCTTCAGAGACCTGCAGAGACGTCCGAATGACTTGCCTGCAGAGAGGAACCATCCTCTCCAGGGCCTCCTCTCGGCTGAGAGCTGAACACTCGACCAGACGACCTGCCTACAGGGAGCAGCTGCCCACTCCTCTGAGCTGCTCTCACCGTAAAGACAACCCTTCTTCACCCTTTACTTGTCTGCGTACCTCATTCTTCCTGGATGCAGGACAAGAACTTGAGCAAAGGCACCAAGGGCACAGAGGTTTCTAGCCAGAAAAACTGACACCCCAGAGATCCTGTAAGACTGTCTCCTAGGGAGGGGCTGTGCTCAGTCCCAACACTGAGGGTCATTCTTCACACTTGGGAGCGGCATGAGTACCTCATCCCACACACCGCTCCTGGGGAATTCTCCTGAACTTTCACATCGCAAGGGGTCTCCTTCTCTATCGAGGACTGGGTTTCTGGTGGGATTGTTCCCTCCGGATATACTGGGCGCCTTCTGGGAGAATGAGGACATCTCACCTGGGACCAGCGGGGCAGGTACCCGGCAGCCATTCTCTCCTCTTGGGAAAAGCGGGTTCCTGGGCAGTCAGAGCTGTGGGGAGGAGAAAGGTGCTGTGAATACCAGACCCAGGCCAGTCCCCAGATCCCAGAGCCCTTGGCCTGGACAACCTCCATTTGCTTGAAGGGGCCTCCATACACAGAGGGATGTAAACTGAGGCCAGGACCCAAGACTGAGGCCAGGGTTTTTGTTTTTTAAGAGATAGAGTCTCCTTCCGTTGCCCAGGCTGGAGTGCAGTGGTGTGATCGTAGCTCATCTCAGGGCAGCCTCAACCTCCTGGGCTCAAGCGATCCTGCTACCTCAGCCTGTGGCTGGAACTACAGGCACCACCATGCCCCGCTACTTTTTTGTATTTTCTGTAGAGACGGGGGCCTTGCTATGTTGTCCCAGGTCTACAGCTCCTGGGCTCAAGGGATCCACCTTCCTCGGCCTCCCTAAATTCTGGGATTATAGGTGTGAGACACCACACCCATCCATGGCCAGGAGTCTTAAAGGCCCCATTTTATGGATGAAGGTCCTGAGGCCCTTAGAAGCAAACGAGTTTACAAAACACTCAGTCTCCATTAGGAAGTGAAGCACCCACTCCGTATGTGTTTCCTGAGGCTGTTTTCACAAGGTGCCAGTAACCCAGGGGGCTTGGAATAACAGGAATATATCCTTTACTAGTTCTGGAAGCCGGAAGTCTGAGATCAAGGTGTGGGCAGGGCTGCGCTCCCTCTGAAGGCGCTAGGGAAAAGCTCAATTGTGGTGGCTCATACCTGTAATCCCAGCACTTTGGGAGGCTGAGGCAGGAGGATCACTTGAGCCCAGGAGTTCAAGACCAGCCTGGCCAACATGGTGAA